TGGGACTACAGGCTTAAAAAGGGACAATTTGAGCTTGGACAAGGAGAGGAAGTGCAACGGGCTGAAACATACCACGTATGTTTGGTTTGTTTGGTTTTTTGAGACGAAGTTTTGCTCTGTCTCCCAGGCTGGAGTGCAGTGATGTGATCTTGGCTCACTGCAACCTCCGTCTCCTGGCTTCAAGTGATCCTCCTGCCTCAGCCTCCCAATGAGCCAAGACACTGGGCTAATTTTTGGATTTTTAGTAGAGATGGGGTTTTACCCTGTTGGTAACCAGGCTGGTCTTGAACTCCTGACCTCAAGTGATCCACCCACCTCAGCCTCCCAAAGTGCTTGGATTACAGAAATGAGCCACTGCACCTGGCCAAAAACCTCCATGTTTACTTAAGGTTTTAATGATTAATTTCACATTATAATGTGAAAAGTAATGAGTCTCTAGCAGTCTTATGCCAAAAACGGGGGCTGATTATAAAGTAGTACTTTGCTCAGTCCATTTTCCTTCGAATCACCTATTTTGAGAAAATACACTAGTTTCATTTTCCACTCCCATATAGGGGTGGTAAATACTACTAGGACAAAAAACATAATTAGCACCAGTACAAATTCAAGGTTTCCAACCTGAGTGTAAGCATTGCTTTGTAGTTTTTTTTCACCCATCCCAGTTTACAGTCTCCTTTTACCCCAAAATGAAATCTCAAACGTCCTCCATTTTGAATAAAACGCATGCTGGCCCCTCAGTGGAAAACATCAACCATGAATTATGAGTCTTTTCACTTTACCTTCACACCACCGATTTCTGTCACACTGACTGTGCTTATTACCATGTATGTCTAGCATTAGACTGGACTCCTAGGGAAGAGGAACTCACATTCATTTCTCAGTCCTAAGGGCAAAACTCCAAAGTGTAATTAAGGAAAGAAATAACTCCAATTCTTCCAAGTTCTGAATTCGTCATCCTCTCAAAAATGGCAGTGTGTATTCAAGCTCTGCTTATTTTCCTGATCCAGTTCTCCATATTTGGGAGATCTTACAAAATAGGCCAGGAAGGCAAAAATGTCTAGAGATTATTCCCACATGGTAATCTTTGCAAATAAAACTCTTAGACCTAACTTTATACTAATAAAAATTTCATGATTTTTTTTTTTTTTTTTTTTTTTTTGAGACAGGGTCTTGCTCTGTCACCCAGGCTGGAATACAATTACAGCTCACTGCAACCTCATCCTCCTGAGCTCAAGCAGTCCTTCCACCTCAGCTTCCCAAGTGTTGGGGCCACAGGCACAAGCCACAATGTGTGGCTAATTTTTTGTAGAAATGGGGTTTTACCATGTTGCCCAGGCTGGTCTCAAACTTCTGGGCTCACAGGATCTGCCTGTCTCAGCCTCCCAAAGTGCTGGGATGACAGGTGTGAGCCACTGTGTCCAGCACCAATACCACATTTTAATTATGTGTTGAGGTGGCTGGATTGAAGGAAGAAATGGGTACTCCATTTTTTTCCCCAGTCCTAAGGGGTTTTAAACACACTAATATTAAAGTTTAAATGCCCTAGAGCTGAAAAAGAGATTTAAAAACTTGACAGTCTCACAGTATCTGGTATAAGTTGAAGAAAAATAATGAAATGCAAGGTGCTTAGTATTTTAAAAGAATTTGAGTGAATTTTACATCTGTAAAAATGAAATCAGAATAATCTGAGAAAAGATTTCAGAGATGAAGATTTTCAGAGATGAAAAGCATGATTTGCCAAATTTAAAACAGCAATAGAAGCAATAAGTAGCAGATGAAATATAACCAAATAAAAATTAGTAACAAAAAAAATCAGTAAATGAATTATCCTACAACTCAAATCAAAAGGACAAAATAGATTAATAAGATGAAAGAAAAAAACGTTAGAAATATGCAGATCAACCTTACCAATACTGTGTATAGAAAGAAAACAGTATTTATATATGTATTTTTTTTTGACAAATGTATTGAGCATCGAGCATCTACTATACTACAGCCATGACATAATAGAGAATAAGAGAGACATGGAATGTGTCTTCAAAACGTCCATGTTCTGGAACAAATGAAGCTGAAGTAGTAACTAAAGAAATTACTGAAGAAAACTATTTTTATGAAGAAAGGGGGTAGGAAGAAAAGGAAAGGAAAAAAATAAATGTATACATTTTATGTCTTAGCCAAATTTAAGGCAAAGAGATTCTGATAGAATTTCAAAGATTTCAGAGATAAAGTATCCTTCAAGCATGGTGAGGATTGGGTGTCTAGGGTAATCAAGTTTTTTAAAACATCTGGGTGGCAATGTTTTTAAATGAATACCACACGTGGACAAGGATATGGTTAAATTGGCACTCTCATACATTTGAAGTGGGAACATAGATTGTTTTAATTTTTTAGATATAAATTTGATGATTTCACTTCATGTATAGCTTAAGAACCAAGCTAAGGTTTTTGCCAGGCATGGTAGCTCATGCCTGCAATCCCAGCACTTTGGGAGGCTTAGGAAGGCAGATCACATGAGGTCAGGTGGATCACCCGAGGTCAGGATTTCAAGACCAGCCTGGCTAACATGGTGAAATTTCACATCTACTAAAAATACAAAAATTAGCTGGGTGTGGTGGTGCATACCTGAAATCCTAGCTAGTTGGGAGGCTGAGACAGAATTGTTGAACCCAGGAGGCAGAGGTTGCAGTGAGTAGGGATTGTGCCACCACACTCCAGCCTGGGCAACAAAGGGATACTCTGTCAAATAAATAAATAGAACTTGGGCAACAAAGCAATACTCTGTTAAATAAATAAATAAAGCCTTAGTAAGGTTTCTTATACCCTTCCCATCCCCTTCTATTCTTTGTGCTACTGTCATACCTTTTACTCCCATATTATAAAACTTATAATGCATTACTATTTTTGCTTTAAACAACTAACTTTTTAAAGCTACTATTTCTTTAATTCACAATGTTGGACAACCACCACCACTAATTGCAGAACATTTCCATCCCACAAAAAGGGAAATCCTGTACCTGTTAGCAATCACCTTCAATACAACAATGTTTTAAAGAGATTAAAAAAGAAAAATAAAATTGTCTTATTTTTATTCCCATAGTTACCATTTCTAGCACTTCTCAATCTTTTGTCATTTTCCTTCTGCCTGAACAATGTCAACATTTCCTGTGGAGGTCTACCAGCAACAAGTTCCAGTAGGCCTTTTTGTTTGTTTGTTTGTTTGTTTTGAGACAGGGTCTCGCTCTGTCCCCCAGGCTAAAGTGCAGTGTGGTTCAATTATAGCTCACTGCAGCCTCTGCTTCCCAGTCTAAAGCGATACTCTCACCTCAGTCTCCCAAAAAGCTAGGACCACAGGTGCAAAACCATGCCTGGCTGATTTTTGTGTTCTTTGTAGAGATGGGGTTTTGCCATGACACCCAGGCTGGTCTCGAACTCCTGGACTCAAGCAATTCTTCTGCCTTAGCCTCCCAAACTACTGAGATTGCAGGTGTTGGCCACTGTACCCAGCTCCAGTAGGCTTTTTTAAAAAGTACTTTAAAGCTGTCTCTGCAGGCCAGGCGCAGTGGCCCACACCTGCAATCCCAGCACTTTGGAAGCCCAAGGCAGGCAGATCACAAAATCAGGAGTTTCAGACCAGCCTGGCCAACATAGTGAAACCCCATCTCTACTAAAAATACAAAAATATTAGCCAGGTGTGGTGGCATGAACCTGTAATCTTACCTACTCAGGAGGCTGAGGCAGGAGAATTGCTTGAACCTAGGAGGCAGAGATTGCAGTGAGCTAAGATCACATCACTGCACTCCAACCTGGGCAGGAATGACTCTGTCTCACACAAAAAAAATTAATTAATTAATTAATTAATTAAAGAGGTCTCTCCATTGTATTTTGATTTGCTAAGTTTTTGATGAGAAGTCTGCTGTCATTCTTATTTCTGTTACTCTGTACCTGATGTGTATTTTTTCTCCATCTGCTTTCAAGATTTTCTCTTTATCATTGGTTGCCAACAATGTGATGATGATGTGCCTTGGTGTGGTTACCTTTATAGTTATTCTCCTTGGGATTCTTAAATATGTGGGCTTATAGTTTTCATCAAATTTGGAAATTTTCTGGTCATTTATTTTTTTACAATCTTTTTTCTATTCTCCCCTTTCCCTCTTTTCTGGGGCTCCAATTACATATATGTCAGACTGTTTCTATCTCTAACAATTGTCCTTGTTATAGTCATTGATGCTTTATCAATTTTTCCACTTTTCTTTCTGTTCTCATTTTGGACAGTTTCTACTGCTGTCTTGAAGTTCACTGATATGCAGTGCCTCAGCTACTGTTAATGCCATCTATTGTACTTTAAATTTTATTTCGAACTCTAGGTGTTCTGTTTGGGTCTTTTCAAAATATACCTTCTAGTTCTCTTCCCATTATGTTAACCATTTCCTCTACTTTTTTGAACCAAGAACATATTTGTAATTGCTGTTCTCATGTCTCTGTTAATTCCATCATCTCTGTCATTTCTGGATCTAGTTGATTTTTCTCTTGATTATGCCATATATTTCTGGTTTTTTGCATGTCTGCTCATTTTATTGAATGCCTAACATTGTGAGTTTTGTGTTTTAGGTTTTGTGTATTTCCTTAAATAGAACTGGACTTTGTTCTCACACACAGGTAAGATTCTTTAAAACGGATGGATCTTCCAAGACTTGCTTTTTAATTATTAGAGTAGGTCCAGAGTACTCTTTAACTTAGGGCTAATTTAGTCTCATTACAAAAGGCCATGACCTTTTGATGCCCTTGTATATACTCTGGCTAATGGCAACATAGACTACTCCCAGCTCTGTGTGAGTTCCAGCAATCAATCATTTGGCCTACTCCTTTCCAGTGGGGTTCTTTCTCTGGCCTCAGGTGCTCTCCTCTCATGCATGTGTAGGTCAGAATTCAACCTGACTTCAGGAGAATCCTCCACCTGCCTCTGGAGTTCTGTGTACAACTCCCACATCTCTGGTACTCTGCCCCACAAATTATGCCAATCTTTGCTCCCTGCCAATCCCCATCTTGTCCTCTCAATTCAGTAAGACACCAGGCTTTAATTTGAGTTCCCTATCCCTGTTCTGCACACTGAAAACTACCTCCAGATAATAAATTGGAGCAACCAAAGAACTCAGCAGGTTTGTTTCCCACCTTTCAGTGACTACAGTCTTGTGTTGCCTGTTAAATTGCTATTTCACATATTGTCCAATTTTCTAGTTGCTTAAAATAGCAAGGTAAATCCATTCCTTGTCATTCCATCACTGCTGGACAGAATATTCAAGTAACAGTTTCTCAATTTCGTATCTTGTTGCTGTTTTGAAACAAGGTCTCACTCTCACCCAAGCTGGCTCATAACTCACTGAAGCCTCAAACTCCTGGGCTCCAGGCATCCTTCCACCTAGGCCTCCCAACGCGCTGGGATTACAAGCATGTGCGTGCCATTATGCCATTACGCCCTCAATTTAGAATCTCAAGGCTTAGTCCATCGAGCTCTACCTCTTTAAAACACCAAACAATAGTTTTCTTCCTTTTTTCTTGGAATTTGCTCTGCTCTTTTTAGTTTAACACTGAACTCTTAATTCTCCTACCTCTTTGATTATGATTTCTGATTCTTGAATCCTGAAAGTTTCAGGAAAGTTTAGGCAAGTTTCCAAAATTCTATTCTCGCCATATTTTCTTCTACATCTGTGCAGGACTTCACCCTGTGAAATTTCAACAAGTCCCACAAATTCATTCATGACCTCTTTTGGGGCTCCTAACAGAAGTAACTATGTGACTGGCCTTGGACTTCTTCACTCACAGAGGCAGGAAAAAGGTGAATACAAAATATAATTTCTACATTTTAAAATGTGTGTGTGGTTTTTTTTGTTTTTTTTTTTTTTTTTTAAGCAGAGTCTTGCTCTGTGACCCAGGCAGTTCAGTGGTGCAATCTTGGCTCATTACAACTTCTGCCTCCGGGGTTCAAGCAATTCTCATGCCTCAGCCCCCTGAGTAGCTGGGACTATAGGCACGTGCCAACATGCCCAGCTCTAATTTTTGTATTTTTAGTAGAGATGGGGTTCCACCATTGGCCAGGCCAGTCTCAAACTCCTGGCCCTAAGTGATCCACTGGCCTCAGCCTCCCGAAGTGCTGGGATTACAAGCATGAGCCACCACGCTGGCTTAAAAATACTTTTATACACATACAGCCAGAAGAAAAAACAGAAGTTAATTCACTTAAAGTGTTAAGAATGATTATCTGTTTTATGGGTAACATTATCTTATTTTTCTGTATTTTCAGTACACACATGCATACGCGCACATGCACACACAGACACACACACACACACACACACCTATTTTTTATGTCCCCATTTCTAGCTCATAATTCCAGCTGTTTTTTGCAGGTCAGAATGTCACACCACTATTTTCAAAAGCAAATCACATATCTTCCACCTAGAGCCTGTCTCCCTCTGTGCCAGTTAATGATACCCAGTCCTCCTATAAGCTTCAGAGTCATTTCCACTTGTTCTTCTGTTCCCGCATCTAGTCAAAAATCATACTGGAAACAATGAATTTCAATCCATGAGAAACAACATTATTGCAGAGGGCTTCAGAATAATGATTTCAAAGGAGCACTAAAAAGCTAGCAGAATGAAAACCCCCCCTTTTTCCAGGTCAGAGATGTGAGGAAAATCTGCAAGGAGGAAGCCATAACCTGGGCATAAAAGAAGGTTCTTCCTGGGGAAAAGAGGTAGAATTGGAAGAGCAAGCCAAAGTTGGACCGTGAGCCAAGGGGGGAAACTGTTGAGCAGAGTCAAGAGGCTGGGGACTTGAGACTGCATTTGGGGGGTACCCATAGAGGACAAAAGGAGAAACAGTCATAAACCCAGCTTCAAATGGTACTTTGGCATAAAGTTGTTTTCCTGCCCAAACTGGCATTTAATATTGGTTGAAATGAAAAAGACACACCAGCCATCAACTCTTTACCATGTAATTAACCATCTCTGAATAATGTCATGTCTTTTTACTTTAATGCCCTCTTGAAAATGGGTAATAAATGAACAATGTACAGAATTCAGAAGTCACAAAATAGTCTGGACCTTGAGAACATTGTGCTAAGTGAAACAAACCAGTTACAAAATGACAAATACTGTATGATTCCACTTGCATGAGCTATCTAGAGTAGTCCAATTTATAGATTCAGAAAGAATGGTGACTGCAGAGGGCAGGAGGAAGTATTAAGTCCTTGTTTAATGGCTATGAAAAAGTTTTGGAGACTGGTTGTACAATGTGAATATACTTAACACTACTGAACTCTACCTTTAAAAATGTTTAAGGTAGTAAGTTTTGGTATATGCATTTTATCACTATTAAAAATTAAAAAAATAAGTCACAAATTAGTATAGAAAGTATCGCCCAATTATGCCTTCTGGCCACTCACTTCCACCCCTCAGAGACAGTCAGTGTTAGGATATAGTCTAATCTTTCCAAATATATTCTATCTATATATGCTTGCAAATATATACCTTTTGAAACAAAACACACCCATACACAAATGGTAGCATACTACATGTACTGTTCATGCACTTTGGTCTTTTCATTTACCATACCTTAGAGACTTAAGTAAATTACTTTATATCAAGCTG